ACATCTGACAACGCCACAGCCGGTGTGGACTCACAAAGGCCTTTGTAGGACCAGCAGTTAGCGTAATGGCTATGTCGCTGGGCTCCCACATAGTCGACCGCGGTTCGCATCCCGGACCCGGTGGCTTAAAAAACTCACGCTGGGCGCGTGTGCGTGCGTGCCCAAGATCCTAAGAGGAGTGCGGAGGAGAAGGGATTGCGGCATGGCCACCCCCCCGGGGGATGATTTCTCGCTTTCTGTCTCTCTGTCTCTCTCTGTCTGGTGAGCGCACGCGCCCTATGGGGGAAAAAAAAAAAAACTCTTAAAAAAAAAAAAGGCATTTGTGAGGACTCTGCCCTTTCTTGTGGTTTTTGTCCATTTGTGGTCATTAACATGTTATTTTACTGGGGGTAGTAGGTGGCATGGTACTTAAGGTGCCAGACTCCCATGTGACTGACCACAGTTCAAATCCCAACCTGGTGGCTTGAAAATCACACCAGGCATTGTGTGTGCATGCCTGAAACCTCAGGAAGAGAATGGAGAGAAGGGATTGTCATTCCCCCAAGGGGGTGGTTTCTCACTGTCTCTGTCTCTCTCCAGGCACTATGGCAAAAACCTAAAAAAGGTTATTTTATTAATTTACATTAAATATTTATATTAAAATATTTTCGTTTTCTTTTAAAATGACTCTATATATTCATATTCATTAGACATTAGTATATGTAGCCCTATAAAAAAAAAAAGTAACCTGTAGGGACCAGAAGATGGCATAATGGTTACGTCATTGAACTCCCATGTGGTCCACTGGGGTTTGAGTCCTGGATGGCAATTTGAAACTCACATTGGATTGCATGCATGATGCCCAAGATCGGAGATGAGAATAGAGGAGAGATTGCGGCATGGCCATCCCCCCTGGGGGCGATTTCTCACTCTCTGTCTCTCTAGTGAGTGCAGGCATGCACAAAAATCTCTCTAAAAGACAAAAAGTCAAGTGTATCCTTTTTAAAAAAAAAAAACAAATTTTCTTTTTTTGTTTTTACTTCTTTTCCCTTTGTTTTTAAAATGTATTTTATACATTCAATCACTGTACATCACCACAACTTATCAAATGAATTTTCCCAGCATGAATACACTGCACAGCAGTCTGGGTAAAGATATTACCATACATGTTATCATCAACAGACGGCCCTCCATTTCTGTGCCCCTTAAATTCCTGGCCTCTCTGTCTTCTCGATTGCAACTGCTGTGCACGTGAGTATTTGTTAATGGCCGTGGACCGGGCATGGTGCAGAAATGAGCTATCATCTCAATGCCCTTGTATCACTTGAACAATGTCATATTGGTCATTGAAGCAGCCTGATG